TCGGCAACCGGAGGTTTTGGCGTTTGGTGCCCGCCGCGAACGCGCCGTTTGAGAAACGGGAGTTTTTGGATAAATGGCGTTGCCGCGAACGTGTTAACTGGCAAGCGCCCCTTAAGCGAAAAAATAGAAATAAAAAAACCAAAGAACTAAATTTTTGATGATTATTTACCTGGGAAACATCAGCGATCAGGTAACTTGGTAAGAACATGTGTGGTGTTTCAACAATGAAAGGAAAAACAACAACAAAACTCACCTCAAACAGAGCCTTCACTAGAATCACTATTAGTGTATCTTCAGTAAAGAACGAGAAAAAAATACCCACTCAGCTCAAATCATCCGTTTCCTCATTTTGTGAGGTCGCAAGTGTTAAGTTCCCACCGACTAACCAGAAAAAAGGTGAATGAATATGAATTGCCCCTCAGCAAATTGGAACGGTCCCACCAGTCGCGCTGGGGCGCGCCCGGTCGTACACCAGCGATGGCCGCTGCAATCGCGAAGTATGAAAGGTGCCTCACTCGTGCTACCGTCATGAGTCTTGCGAGAAAAGCTCGCGTGATGGCTGCAGCATTAAGTTCCGCAAATTCAACATATCCTGCTGTTTGGAGCACTGGTGATGCGCCATTTTAGATAAAAAGTTAAATCAAAAAATCAGCAAGGGTTAAGGAGAAAGGAAAAATAAAGCAATAAATTGCAATTAATCGATGACGACTTGAAAATAGGTGCGGTGTACTGACCTCATGTAATTGGTTCTTCAGCTTGGTCAAATGCTCTTGACATACATGCGTATCTTCTTGCGCAGTGGATAGTTGAGCATTCAGGTCGGCATTTCTAATGAAAAAGAGCTGATGAACTTGAGAATTCACCAAGAAAAGAGGAGAAAAGTGTACCTTGCGCCAAGTTCCTGCACTTGTTTGAGGCTATTTGTCAGCTCCACTTTCATTCGTTCACATGCCTCCTGCATTTCAACAAGACGTGCTGCGGATTCGCAACCCAACGTACCATTTGTTTTCTGTCCTTTTGCCTGAGTGTTTCAAACGTAGGGTGGAAAGTAGTGAAAAAGAAAGCAACTAAATAGGACTGCTGGCAATCCTGGTTATGCCATCAAACGACATCGCTAATGTAGATGAAAAACGGTGAGGTATTAGGGTCTGTTTACTATGCCGACATAACGCTGAACAAGGAACACTTGAAATTTCTGGTGGTGGTTTTCAGCACATTTCAGGGAGAATCTTGTTGGAAATAGAAAAAAAAGACATGAACGGGCATAGCAAACCTCACATCAAAAATGTTTCCGAAAGGCTCTGCCTTTGCTGAGACATCGCTGTCTGCGAAATATTCTGCTGATTTTGACGCTGCCGCACCTGGATGTGATGATAAAAGCGTCTTAGGCTGCGTTTATACTTTGCGGCAGCGTAGCGTAGCGCTTCCAGCGTACGCCAGCGGCAGTGCCGGGGAGAGGATGCATATCGATCTAGCGTTCCCAGCGTCACCAGCGTTTCTCCAGCGTTTCACCAGCGTTTTGCTAGCGTTTGCAGCGGCAGGGGAGTAGAGACTATGGGAGAGCTGGAGGGTACAAAACACATCGATTGCGCGTCTCTCACTCGCCCTCAGTCTCTACAATACACATCGATTCCGCGTCTCTGACGGCCACATAGTCTCTACAATACACATCGATTGCGCGTCTCTTACGGCCACATAGTCTCTACTCCCCTGCCGCTGCAGGGGAGTAGAGATAGAGACTCTGCAACAACAAGAACAAGAACATACAGAAAACAGGTTTTTCGCCCAGCTCGGAGTATTCCTCAGCAAACCCCAACGCGTTTATCTCATGAATCTTGAAAACTTCAGAAACAATTCAAGTGGTTCTCGAAAAGAGGAAGTCTTTGAAGTTACAAAAGTGCTCTTGTATTTGCAAAGTTGAGTTGTGAGAAAATTATTTCCGTTCAAATCAGAAGAGCTTGCATCCAATTTCGAAAATTCCCAGCAAATCCCCAACGCTGAATTTCCCTCCAAATAAGGCAACCTCTATAAACATTTTCAGTGCATTCCGCGAGTTTAAATCTTTTTCTCCATGAGTTCGCTTTCCTTTTTCCCAACCGTCTTCTCTTAGGAATGTTATAGCTTCATTAAAAGCTTGCTTAACTCAAGAGTGGATGGGCGAACTCGCCATGACCAGCGACTTCAAAATTCTTGAGCACAATGCCCGTGCACTGTAGTCCACTGTACTGCTTACCTAAAAATACCACCAATCACGCGTACAACTGCGTACCGGGCGGCCCACCGTAACAGCACCACTAATTCTATTGGGTGGATCCATTCGTACTGCTCACAGTTCGAACTGAATGATTGGCACAAACAATTAGGGCGAATGATTAGATGTTGAGATCAGCTTCTCTCGATTGCTACATATTAAGTAAATCAGTGATTTATATTCGCATTATACATGATGTAATAAGGTGGGACATTAAATATCATATACAGTAACTGTATTCCGTAACAAAAGTAGAAGACGAACGGTCCATGTAGAATGTGCTTATGAAACGCTCCCTATTTTCGGAAGGTTATTGCTGACAATTACCCTCCCCTCCCCCTCCTCGCGCGACAGCAAAATTTTTGGGAAAAACTAGGAAAATTGCCGGGAAGTTCCGGAAAAAAGTCGTAAGAAGATAGAAAAATCCAAGAGAGTGGTAGGTAAGATGGAAAAACGGAGGAGAGAGGGGATCGTAGCCACCTTTTAGGCGGGTCGTACTGAGCCGACAAATTCCCCAACTGATGATGTGCCCTGGTTACTTCGATGAGCCGCTATAAAATGACATTGCAATTACTCCTTGATGCAGGACTTGACACCATTGTGCTTACTTTCATACTCGTCCCCCTTCGCGGTGTTCGCCAGTACCACGAACGCCTGTGTAATGAGATAAGAGTCAATTAAAGGCAAGGTGTACGATCATCTAAATGCGAACGTCGTCCTCCCATGATTACTTTGTTGTCCACTGTCGAGTGGAGAGTTCCACTCTTGTCTCGTGAAGGTGCGAGACTAAGGCGTCAAACGGTAGTGAAAAAGAGGACTCTCAACCCTAAGCCGGATTCCAGCCTCTAGCGAGCTATGTGTTCCTGCCATGTTTTAGTGCAGTTTATGTTCGGTGGCAGACAGATGTAAGGAATAATCTAATTCGGAGCCCGACGACCAACGTCATGCATACACCATGAACCCAGGTTGACTAATTTATGCTCTTCCTACCGCTCCGCGAGATTTAGAGGTATGAGAGCGAAACAGGACAAACGCCTACGTGAGAACGCTAGCTACCTGCACCTCTTCAACTTCAGCGGTAACCATTGCAAGTCGAGCTTTTAGTCCTGAATTCTCTTCCCCTTTGAAGGTGACTTCCTCCTCTAGTGTCGCTACTCGCTCCATCGCCACCCGTAATCGCTCTCTAACCTGAAATCGTCAGGTTTTTGAAACAGTGCTATTATCAAACGAATAGGATCACAACGAAAGGACAAGAAAAAGCGTAGATTCACGATTGTGGAAATGAATAGGATACCTTTTCATCTAAAGCCTTATGATGCTCAAAAAGACTTTTCAGCGCTTTCAGCACTTCCACTTCAGAAGACACCTGAAAGCAGCATGATGGCACCAATAATGGTCAACGGCATACCAAATTCTGAATCAAGAAAAATGACTGGTCTCTCACGCCAGCTGGGCTTTGTGCTTGACGCTTCATCACTGTTACTCGTAGCGACCTCTCATGTCTCGATACAAGGCATTCCAGATGTTCCAATAACAATCGGGTATTGTTCCGCTCTGCCTAGAGAAGAGCATGATTTTACTGTTGCAATGTCTGTTACTTCATAGCGAATGAGGACTAGGAACTTCACAAGGCACCATTTGCTGAACCCCTCCCGGAAACATTCGGTTGAATCACCAGAGAAATGTGGGAGGGGCACTATTGTTACGAGTTCATGTTAGGTTGGACTGACAGTCTTGCAAACATCGAATAAAAAAATGTTTTTCGAACTTCAGCCACCGAGTATTTCACTGCGCTCTCAAAACATCTATAATATAATACTAAGATACAATACCATAGTGCCAACTTCCAAAGCAAACGTCATCCATGAGTAAGTCACTTTATAAATCATTTTACACAACCTGCAAGCTAAGATGACGGGAGCTGTTAAGTTCGAAAGAAAGTCTGCGACACTCCGATCATGATTTCTGACCAAAGCTTCCTTCTCTTAGAGACACCTCCTATCTACAAGGTAACCATCACCATCGGTTTCAGAATATTTGCTGACGAAGTATTCAAAGTGTTCAATAGGTACCGGGGTACTCACAGCCCTTCCAACCTGTCAGGTGCTCAAGTGCGTGGTCTGAAAGAGCTTCGCGATTTGGTCAAGTCCCACACTATCAGGCTCTCTGTTAGTGACAAAAGGAGGGGAGTTCGTTGTCATCCCTTGCCAACTCGACCGTGAGATAACGGAGCGGCATCTCGGGGACTCCTCTCTCTACCGACTATCCTCAGCCAAGGAATTTCATTCACAGTTCCGAAAGCTGAATCGTGTGTGGATGGCGGTAACAAGATCAGCGGGACTTGACCCTCTCCTAACAGCTCGTCTAAAACTTGATGCACCTTCTTGTCCCGTGCTGTACCTCCTCATCAAAACGCATAAGTTTGGGGCAGCGGAAGATTTGACCTCGATCAGCCCTTCGTCGGTTAAAGTCAGACCGATTATTAGCTGCGTGGGGGGACCCACTGACAGGATTGCCTGGTTCCTCAACCACATTTTAGCCCAGCTGCTTCGTTACATCCCTTCGCACCTTCCTAACACCCAGATGTTCCTGAACCATCTCAGCAGAGTGCATTCGGACAGTACCTGCGTCATGGAGTCGTTTGACGTGGAAGCCCTCTATACCAACGTCACCAATTCATCTGCTATGGAGGCCGTTTCCGAGCTTCTTACGCAGCATCATGATGTGATTGATATGGGTGGGCTTTCCATCGGTCAAATAATGGTACTGTTGAACGAATGCCTCAGCTGCAACATCTTCAGGTGGTCAGGAACGTACTACGTGCAGACTAGAGGGAGATAGAGATTCAGGCTGCATTCGCGAAAGAGGAGCCCAGAGCTCCAGGGAGACCCCCTGTCCGGGGACGACCGATACAAGTTTGTAGTTAAATCAGGCATTTTGACGTGACTTCGAAAAGGGAAGGGGTGCAGTTCAGTTCATGTTCACACCTATTCAGCTACAGATACATTCTCCTGTACAAAGCCTCATCTTGCCATTTCTGACGCATTCATTCTGTTACTGCTCCAGTTTTCCTGATATCTAAAAGCAAATTCCCGAAGACGAGCAGTCGATAACAGATGGGCCTGGAACCACTGGTGAGACCGCCATCCCACCAACTGCTGCTCCACTTTTTCGAATTTATGTCAAAACCTTACCTTTGGTTAGAAATCAATCCCCAGGGATAATTTTGCTCCCCGAACACGAATATTACACACACTCGACGTTTGAATAAAATTAGCCATGACGTCATCCATGTTCTGAAGTTGATTAAAGTAGACTGCGGCCGTCACTGTCGTTCCAGTATCCAGCGACATCGGTTTGAAGTGCCACCAATAACAAATAACGCAGATCTTTGATCTATGCACATCTGCTTTTGACTAAGCAGCCTACTTTTCTCTTTGAGAGATCCTGTGAGGGACATGTGCATGGTGTACGCAAGGAATCCAGCTCTCGTTGACAATCACAATGTCTCACGAAGAATCCTTCCTAGATGTACAAGGAAGAGAAAACTCAGTCACGACCATTTGGTGCGCTTTGTAAGGCTGATGCAACTCATGTGACATTTCTCACACTAAATTGCCCCTGTAACAGGGGTTGCGGAGGAACATGACAGTTGTGGCTTAGGTGCAGCCTAGAGATGCTGACAGCTTACTGGTGGTTACTTCCGGCTGCGCCTTGAGGGGTTGAGTAAACGGCCTTCACTTGTGCTGCTGGCCGACTTATACGTTGTCTTCCTCCAAATTGAATAATTCCAGCTTGCAAGCGCTGATACAAAAGGGACACTCTGCCATGGTATCGACATCGACGCGACATCCTTCTCGAATGCAATGCAAGTGTTAGCTCTGTAGACTACGGTGGAGCGGCCCTACAGGTACTCACAATATGTTATAGCAAAAATTACCTTAACCTTTGGGGAACTTTCAAGCTTTGAAAGCTTCCACAAATCATAGTATACTCGTCTACGAAAACCTCAGAAAACATTTCTACTAATCAGGGTTGAGAACATTTCAAATGTTTTTTGATCTTTTTCCAGAACAATTTAATCAAAGTGTCGCAGGACTTTCTTTCCAACCTAATAGAGAAATCGAAAAGAAACGCGAGTGGTCAAAATTAATGGATTATGGAATTGGGCCTCATAAGCGGAAAGTGCGCTGTTGAAATTTATACCAGGCCAGACCAATAGTTGCACATAATGGTATTCTCCAAATAGAACGCGTGCGATTCGGCTCAGAAGTCCAAAGGAGTACGACTGAAAAAAAAGTTGTGACCAAACAGGGCCCCATGATGTTGAGCTTGCGCAAGAAAAGCGGGGGGTCGTGCCCCAGGCGGGAGTCGAACCCGCACCTCCACGAGTGCGCTATCCGTTACGCCACCAGGGCCGCTTTTACCCTCTCAGCTTAACGGCTTTTATGCCGTAGCCTTACAGCACTCACACGTTTAACTTGGTGAGCCGGTCAGCCGTAATCGTTAGATATCGGCATGGAACCGCAAGGCCGAAGGCTTTACAAGTTTTTGAAGCTGTTTTGTTATGATAACTGCTGTTTAACGCCGCAGTAGTATTACAAGAAAATGGGTGGATAAAGTCAAACGTTGAATGTCTGATTACAGAGGCTGGACCATTATAGAGTATAAGCGCGAGACTGACATCCGTGCTACAACCGTTGCTCGAGTTATGTCCAATAAACTGGATTGGTCAAGGGGGTGTGCGCATGGGTACCTCATTTTCTTGTAGAAGCACGAACGCAGTACCGATTCTATGCCTGTAGCAGCGATGTCCATCGCCTAAGACGTCATTCACGACTATGAAAACGCACCGTGGCCCTAGGCAAAGCAAAGTTGCACTTGGAGTCGAAACTCACAAGTAAATTTTGTATGACTGCAGATGGGAAGCAGCTCGAGTTCTGTCGTCAGCAGTTGCGTGGGCCCAGGCGGATGACCATTATGGAAAGGAAATAACCATTATGGAAAAAGATTGCTGCACTGCGACTCTCAAGCGGCTCTATACAGAGAATAAAACCGTCACTGTGGTGTTTATTGCCTGCTCTTCGACAACCAGATCGGTAGTGGATGTTGCCCAGAACTACAAGAATGCCGCATTCGCTCGTCACTGGCCCCGAGTAGTATGTATTGCTCGGGCACAAACAACACTGACAGATGGGTTTAATCGCATTATTCGCCCGACCTTAAGCCATGCCATTTCAGCTGTTCTAGTCAACGGAAGACAGTCCAAGAGCAAATGCTATGACTATTTGCCGATTGTGAGAACTGGCAACAAAAGCATTTTACTCTTACTTACTGAAGAAAAACAAAGTTGCTAGGTGTCTAAACGCTCCCTGAACCTTGGGAGCGGGTCACTGATGAAAAAGGATCCAGTTAACTTAAAACCCAATATTGTTTTTTATCTTCGTTTTCTTCTTCGTTCTATTTGAACGAAACCTTCCACATTTTTGAATGGGACGAGTTAGTTAATGATAACTGATAACAGTGTATGAGTAATTATACCAAATTCGCTCTCATTTCACCACTTCATAACTGATCTCATTTTAACCAGAGTTACACCAGACAATTAAGGAGATCATACCAAACACTACTGCAGAAACTTCACTGACAGCCACGCCCACTTCAAGCACGGTCATGGTTTCTCATTCTACCTTGTAACTTCTTTACGCTTTCGCTATTTCGCACTCACAGATTCAATGAAAGGGACTCATCTACTGACACACAGGTGATTCCGGCCACTTTTAAGGAATAATTTGCCAATTCCGAATCGTTCTATTTTCTCCCAACGCCGTTGTTTTCAAACCCACTCTGGACACATTGAGTGAATTCGATGACGCGTATTAGTACACTGGCACTAAGCTTAGCCTCGCCCACTTTCACGAGTTCCTGCAAAATGATCCTTTTTCAGAACTTCCACGTTTTTAGGTAGCTTCGACCGCTATAAAAATTTCAGCCCACTTTAGGAAGCCTGAAATTTGTAGTTTACAATCACTACAAACATTTGAAGTTTACAAGCTTCTTAAAACGTGATCGGAGTTGTACGTGCCTTGGTATATCGATAGTTTTCGATTTGTTGTGCGTGTGAAATGGCAAAAATGTAAAAAAGTCACAAAAGCAGAAGCAGCAAGTTTTAGAAGCAGCGCTCACGCCGAAAATTGGGTAGTTCGCAGTGGTGTCTAGTGTGATCTGTTAGTTTGGCAGTCCGGTGTAGAAATTGCACTGAATTCGATTTGAAAAGTTGTGAGTTTGGTTTGATCGAAATGAAAATGGTATATTTTGCGCATCCAACTATTCCCACCTCAATCCATTATCGAGGTCTTTTGTCTCAAGTTTTGTCCCAAGCTTATTTGGTGCTCTGACCACGACAAGAATATCGTATGATCAGTAACTAACTGGAGTGCACGCTACAACCCTATGTCACACTCTCTATAAATA